GTAGATTAGTATCAAAGGACGAAGCAGCAAGTGCTAACCGCAAAGTTTACCACATGAGAAACAGAACAAATTAAAACATCAAAACAGGACTCAGAAGAAAAGGTCTCTGTGTATGTTGTCTCAAATGGCAAACTGTGAGGCCAAAAATTTAACTCACAAGCCCCGATTCTCATATATTAACAGAAACAAACATGGAACTAAATGTTAAGTACTAATACGGCATTTTCATCTGTTTCCATTTGCTTTCTAAAAATGAATTTAGCTTGACAACGCATCTGATTTTTCACTTGGGAAAACACAGAGAAGTCATTTCTCTTTTACAAAATCACACGGTGAGGCAGTGGCAAAACAATAACATTCAGATGTTTTTGCCCTGAGCTCAGGATCCAATCAAGAAAACTGTATTTTAACAGATCCAATTCTTTGGCAGGAGACAAGATCAGGTCTTGATGGAATTTGAATCCCTGACTATGACTGCCGAAGGAAACCACAGTGCAACCTGAGCTAAGGTAAAATCAGTAACTGTCAACAGGAACGTTAGGTCTGTTCTGCAGATTTCTATCTACTACAAACCAAAATCTTAACATACTTCCTACAAAGTTCCAAGGCATTTGACCACAACCACAAAAACAGAAGGATCCATAAACATAGAGCACATTATTCAAGCACAACATCCATAAACATAGAGCACATTATACGAATGAAAAGAAGCAGCACTATCACCAAAAGTGAGCATCTGTGAAAGGAATATTTTTTTTAGAACCTGAACCAAAAAACCATATTCAGATCATCCTGTATTCTCAGATAACTAAGAACTAAGTACTTTAGGTTCCCCCACCTGGAATTTAAACAGGCCTTACCTATGGCTCCTGACTATATTCTACACACTCTGGTCAGTTGATGTATGTCAGTCATGCTCAGAAAGGGCTTTTAGCTATAGCTAGATTCAAAGCTGTCTTGGTGTGTCTGTGCTAGTTAGCTGCATTTCAGTACTGACAATCTCAAATGTTCAGAATTATGAAACCGCCTACAGAAAGAATGATGTTTCCTTTAAAATGATGAGGCTTGGAGAAAAAAAAAATCCTTGTTTAGTTCTATAATTGGCTGTTGTTTATAATTTTGCATACCAGTCACCGAACATTTATGAGGCTCTCAAATCATGTTTTTGAATTTTGCTAGCTACAAATGTATCATATATTTTAACATGACAACTGGGATTTCCAGGTAATGATATAAGTCTAATAGCTGTGGATTATTCATCAATGGTGTCACAATCAATGGCAATGTTTTTGAATACAGTCTGAGCATTATTTTTAATATAGTTAGCCCAGTCCTGCTGGTGGCTAAGGAAGTAATAGAGATGTTGTTTTATGTCATATTTAATATAAAAGTCCTGTTGATGATTTTCAGGCCTCCATTCAGATGACAGTTAGGTCATTATGAGTAACACAAGCTTTGAATACGACTTCATATGCTAGGTCATCTCTGAAAGAACACCTAGTAACCATTAATCTTAAAAGTCATTCTGCAGTATCCTTTCATATTTGTCTTATAATTGCATAGAGCTAAATTTAAACAATTTTAAGACTTGTCTTGTAATTCATGAGTCAAAAAAAAAAAATATGTAGCTTCAGCTTCTGATCAATGACCCAGTACCACAAGCACTCCTAAAATTAAAGGAAAATGTGACTCTGATCCTGTCAAACTCAGATCACTGCCATATGTTATAGAAAAGATATAAAGAGAAGAGAGAAATCATTGCTAGATACTATTACAAAGGCATTCCATAAAACACAGAAGTCTGCTGATATTTCGTATAACAAATTACTTGAACCTTAAAGGCCATGCCAAAGCAATGGGACCAGGAGTGCTTCCCAGATTTGGTCTATCTCACCTGCCTGCTGGGCTGAGACAGACACGTGCCATGTCTCCGGACACTTTAGTTTCCTTTGGTGTGCAGGTAGGCAGAGAGTGGAACTGCACTTTCATAGTCCCCTTGGTCTAGATCAGTTGGGGGATCAGGATGCAACCCAAACTGCATTTGCCCCCAGTTCATGGCCAACAGTGGGACTAGATTTGGAGTCCTTGGCTCAGGAATAAATTTGTTACACCATTTTTAAAAAACGATTAAAAATGAGTAACAATGATAAAACAGAAAGGAAGGTGTGAAACACACTAAGTCTTTGAAGAATATGACTGGCTATTAGGACCCTTTGACATTCAGTTTAGATTGTGACCTTGGCAACACAGTAAAGTGCAACAAGGCCCTCTTCTTAGAGGAGGCCGAAGAAGAACAATGAAGCTGGTGAAGGGTCTGGAGCACAAGTCTTCTGAGGAGCGGTTGAGGGAACTGGGGTTGTTTAGCCAGGAGACAAGGAGGCTGAGGGGAGACCTTATTACTCTCTACAACTGCCTGAAAGAGTGCCGGTCTCTTCTGCCAAGTAATAAATGATAGGACAAGAGGAAACGGCCTCAAGTTGCACCAGGGGTGGTTTAGATTGGATACTAGGAAAAATTTCTTCACAGGAAGGGCTGTCAAGCATTGAAACAGGCTGCCCAGGGAAGTGGCTGAGTCCCCCATCCCTGGAGGTATTTAAAAGACATCTAGATGCGGTACTTAGGGACATGGTTTAGTGGTGGACTTGATTGCGTTAGGTTAACAGTTGGACTTGATGATCTTAAAGGTCTATTGCAACCTAAATGATTCTATGATTCTAAAGAATAAGTTGTCAAGTTTCTTAGTAACGCAGTGCTGAAACAGACATGTATAGAAGCACAAAATAACAGCAACACATATAAAAAAACTTTGTGACATGGCAAATCTAGAAAGATCTGACAATTAGAAGCATTGATATTCTTGAAGACAGAGTCTGTAGCATGGTACAGAGGCCACAGTTTAACTGCTGAAATATCAGCAGCACTCTTTTCAATGGACTTTCACTCTAAATGATGCCACACTAGAAGTGACATCTCTTACCTAGCTTGGCAAAGATAAGGGACAAAATTTGGGTGATATTTTGAATGCCCTTTTTTTTTATATCCAGCTAATATCTAAATTCACCTTGTCTACAACTAGAAGGACAAATAAGCAGCTCAGTTTTGAACTCCTGCCAATGTTTTTTTTCAGATTGGCAGAGGTATTCATGCAGCACCTCTTTTCCAGAGACATCTCTTGGCTGTTAAACAAAGTCTGGAAACCTGAATCCATTAATGAACTCAGATTTCCCATGTGGCAACACAACATGCCTCAAACTGCCCCACTAGCTCTAGAAAGACATGTACAGTGTCCTTAAACTGGCACACATCACTGTAGCTTGGGTTACATATGTCAAAGCTTCATTCTGCACTATCCATAACGGGGCGGCTGTCAGTACCACGAGGTGGATCAAGATACTAAATTAAAGACACTAGAAAGAGAAAGGATGAATTGAAGGAAATTAGCTAAACCAAGAAAGTTGTCAGGGACTTGATATCATATGAACGAGTAGCTGTGTATCTGTAAGTATTCGGTTGCAAGTTTTCATGCCGATTGAGGAAAAAAAAAATCCTTCAACATGTTGAAATATGAGAAGTTGCCGCAGGATGGAAATTCCTTTACAAAGCAGTTTATAAATAACTGATTAGTCAACAAGTACTTTTGGAAGTCCATGTATCTCCTAAGTCCTTTTTTCTAGAAAAACAATCATCACAACACCTGTCTGAAAGTTATTTTTTACTTACATTCTGTTGATTATTTTTCTGTTTAAAATCAATACAACAGTGCTAATCGCATCTGATAAAGGAGAATAAATGAACATCATAAATAATAGCTCCTTAAAAATGAAAATCTGGAAATTATTTGGTTTGTAAGGAACTATCAAATATATATATGGAAAATATGAAATGTCTCATTAAGCTGCTAGCCTCCTTCTGAATATTATTTGTAATAAATGGTTGAAGAGCTTCAGTCATCATCTTATCTTACTGTTATGGAGATCTGAAATCTTAACTATGTCAAAATGAAGCAAAAAACATGTCAGCATTGTGTCAGTTCCATGTGAGAAGCTAATCATGATATTCAGCCAATAAGTAGGAATATTTTGCCAAATTAAATTTGAGTTAACTATTCATCTGAATGGATGTCAATACAGGAACATCTTGGAACTGAACTTTCAGCTTCTCCATTGTATACAAGTCCCTGCCCAAAATACTTTTAAATTAAAAAATGGCAAAACGATTCTCAAACAGAAGTAAATTCAGGGGGCAAAATGTTGTATAATATTCCATCTGAATAGTGTATTAATTTTACTACAGTAACTGGTAGGGTTCCTATCTATCTACATGTTCTCTTCTAATATATCATAGGGTAGAGAGGATACCAGTGGCATCCACTTCCAGAGCACACATGGTAACCCTGCTAGAGACTAAACTCAGTCTTGATAAACACTGATTTCCACCTGTGGCCTGATATATAGAACTCTCACTGAAGTGAGTGCAAATGCACTGAAGGCTTATATAATGAAAAAGACATTTTCAGATAGAAAATGTGAAATATTTTTCCATTATCATTTGACAGCTGCCTGTCAATAAGATTGTGCTTGCTATATCTTAAATAGTTTGTCAGTGTATTGATGGGTAGACTTCCAAAAGAGCTCTAACTTTCTTCAAGCTGCTAAATCCTTAAAAACTGGTGAAAAAAAAAATATGTATATATTGCCTTGCTGAGATAATTTTCTCAATGTTTTCTCCAGTTTTATTAATAGTATAAAATGTAAACACTTAATTGACAGCTGCTAGGGAAAAAAATAGTTGCATCGCAGAAGTGCTTAGAGGCCTATTCAGTCCTTCTCATGTATCCACCCTTTGCTATGGACTTATCATAATCTCACAAAAACACACAGAAATCATCCAAGTGTTACCCAGGGATGTAAGCTAGACAGGACTTATGACACTGGCAGCATTTCAGCCATACCATTCTGTGATGCGTTGCTCAATAACCCAGAGTCAAAATTGCAACTCACCTTCTGCATCTTCTGGCCTTGTAAGATCAATGACACCAGGGCCCAGTTTTCCATCTTCATTGGGTTTCCCTGTTAACTGTGGGCCTAAATTTTCAAACCTTGTTCTTTCCTGGAAAAGAACAGAAATAGTCTTAATGCTCCATATACGTTAGTTCTCATTACATGCCTGTGCATATGTGTATGCACTGATGCATCCCTTATTTTTTAAATCTGAACAAATAATGAGTGCATTTAATTAGAATTTTAACTCAGGGACAATTTTTTACAGATTCTGCATGTTTGCATTTATGAAAATCAGTTTTAAATGTGAAACATATACAGAAACTTTGAGATTATTTTGATCTGCACTGCCATAATGCATAAGCGATTGTACATGCAAATACAAAACACTCTTGGCAGCAAACAGCGCTGATTGATGCTGCTCACTTTGCCTTTCCACTTATTTCCTAACTTGAACTGGAAAAGACAATCAACATTTGGGAGACATGAAAATTCAGAAGTTGAAAGAAGAGTTTGTATTAAAATATACTGCTAATTTAATGGAAAAAGCACTTTTTCCCCACTATGAGATTCAAGTTTGCATTCATACCTCTGAGAAAACACAAGTCTGAATTTTATGCAAGAGGTTTTCAAAGACAAGTATTTGAAAGAAGGAATAATAGATGACAGAACTGATATTATTATTTTGTCTAGGAATTTAAATTGTACCTCAGTGGAAAGGGAACCTAAGGAGATTTAAAAAAAAAAGGAAACAGAATGCACGCTCCCAGAAAAACAGAAAGCTTTTGAGAGCTGGAGACATCCATAGGAAACCTGGAACTAGAAAGTGGAAACTGGAAGGTATTTTATGTGTTAACCCAGTTCTTCAATCAACTACTGGACAAGGGCACTATAAATGACAGTGTAATATTGTCTCACAATAGTACTCTCTGTAGTCCTGTGTATCAGTAGCAAAGCGTTCAATGGTTATCATTAATTTAGTGTTCTCATTTGAAGGAACATAGCATGTTTTCCCTCTTGCCTTGTTGTTACCTCTTCAGACTAAACTTGGCATTAAGCTGTACTTGTGAATGAATGAAACCTTGTTGTTCATTATTATGAAACAATATTAAATGTCATGTCAGCTTGAATTTACAGACATGAAATACCAGCTTTCAGCTCTACGAACAGTTTCTCCATGTTATACTTAATGCATTATGCAGAAGTAGAGTGCTGATTGCTGTTCAGTCTATTGTTCAATGACCTAGTTCTGTGCTGTGCATACTAGACATAAGAAGAAAACATTAGGAGTTTCTCTCCTGCAAGATGGTTAGAAACTTGGAAATGTTCTTAAGGACAAAACATACTTGATGGCCCTGACTCCTCATTTGCTCCACCTCCAAATACTTACGCTTTCCAATGTGATTATTTTCCTATTATCATTATCTTTCAGTAATAAAACCCCATCAGGCCAACAACTGAGGAATTCTTTTGATTTCTCATTCTTTTGATTCCTTCAGCCATGGATTTTTAAAATTATTTTCTGTTTAATTTGCAGAGGAAGACAAGAAAGCACAACCTGATGCTGGATTTGCCACAACATGCAGCTGAGGCATTTCAGGTACTAAATGCTTTTCTAGAAGTTCCTCAGAATCTTCCAGTTGTCAAACAAAGTAACTGCATTTTATATTTGGTTAACTTCTTATTTTCTTCTGTAAAATCTGTGGTTGATGAAGGAGCTTACATATACAAAGGAACTCATGAGAAAAGAGATACAAATGAAATGTGACTGCAGAAAGGCGCTGCAATACTGAAGGCCCAATATTTTACTGAAAATTGTTGTGCAATGTAACAATACACCTGAATCATCAGGACAGGATCTGTTTTGCTGGTAGACAGAATAAAAAATCAGTTTGTCAAGGATTCTGCATTCCGCTGAAAAGGGCTGATTTGCAGTTGAGATAAAAACAAAGATCAGTACTAAGAAAACAGCTTTTGGCACATATATTGTCTCTTCCAAAATATTTGCGCTAAAAGCTTTTTCTTAAGGATGATAATACAGCACCTGCAGTATTCTTGGAAGAACAGCTTTTAAGTGTGTTTCAGAAGAAGGAGAAATACCTTTCTGCTATAAAAATCAACACACCCTGCTACATATCAATATGCACATTTGAAATATCTTTCTAGTCATTCATTCTCTTTGATTTTACCAGAAAATATTCTGTTAAAAAAAAAAAAGAAAGAAAAAAAGAAAGTTTCTGAAAGAATATCAATATTTTGACATGGAAGGAGAAAAGGGAAAATTACATGATAAGGTTCAGGAACAGTAAAATGAAAGCACTTACAGCATAAAAATACCTGCTCTTGTCAAACAAGAGAGGTACTTATAGTTATTTCATAACCCCCTCCTTTTAATTCATAAGGAGCTGTAACAAAGCTAGTTATATTTAAGTCTTTGAAATGCCTTTAAAAGTCATTCCTTTGCTTGCTTTTTTACTGAAAATAATTTGTGATCATAAAAAAATTTTCAATATTTGCATTGGGTTTAGACAAATTCAGAGAACGGTAAAAAATACAAAAATGTTCCTTAATACTATTTTTATCTAGTAGATGCCTTTACAATTCCATGCAATACAGCAAATTCACATGAAATTTATTATTAGAGATGAAACTTGTCCCACTAGGCTCCAATCTTTTTTTAAGGGATTTGCCTTTGTTCTCGTCTTGAATCCATCCAAAAGAAAAGAGTTACTTGCACTAAAAATCCTGTAAAAATATGCCTTTTTCCTAGTATGAGCAACAACTGAGAGGAAGATGGATTCCGTACATAGTGTTCCTATATGAACAAAAAATAGCATACCCTCATTAAAAGTAAGTGGCTATACATATGTATTGGGTCTGACTGAGGTAGTTAATTTTCCCTATAGCAGCCCTCATAGTGCCGTGCTTTGTATCGGTAGCTAGAAAGGTGTTCATAACACACCAGCGTTTTGACGACTGCTGAGCAGTGCTCCCACAGCGTCAAGGCTGTCTCTCCAACGTTCCTTCCCCCCTTACCAGTACGCTGGGGGTGGGCAAGATCTTGAGAGGGGACACAGCCAGGCTAGCTGGCCCAAACTGACCAAAGGGATATTCCATACCATATGATGTGGGCTCAACAATGAAAGCTAAGAGAAAGGAAGAGGAGGGGGACATTCATTATTATACCATTTGTCTTCTGGAGCAACCACTATGCATAATGAAGCCCTACTTCACAGGAAGTGGCTGGACATCACCTGCTGATGGGAAGTAGAGAATAAATCTTTTTTTTTCCTTTGCTTCCACGCATGGCCTTTGCTTTTGCTTTTATTAAACTGCCTTTATCTTGACCCATGAGTTGTTTCCATCTTATTTTTCTCTTCCATCCATTTTTCTCCCTCTCCACCTCCCCATCCTGCTGGGAAAGGGAATAATAGAGTGGCTTGGTGAGCACATGGCATGCAGCCCAGGTCAACCCACCACAACATAGCTGCACTAACAAGTATGTTACCTACACATGCGTTGTATTTGTACACTTGTACATTGACCGCTGGATATATTGCTACCTCCCTAACCTACATTAATAGAAAATGTTGGTGAGTTTGTAACAAAGTGCACCGCTATGGGCAGTGCAGGTGTTTTGTTTCCTGTGAAAAAGCATTTTGGACCTCTATTTTGAACTGATATTTTGTACTGGCTATGGAGCTTACACTGCATATCCACATTAAGTTTTCCCATTTAAATTTCAGAAAAAGGGTTTAGGACATGACACTGACAACCCTTTCTCATGACTAGATCCACACAGTCAATTGGAGTTTGCACTAGAAAACTGAAAGCTCTTCCCAGCACAATTCAGATCCTTTGTGCTTCTTTATGTGTTGAACACACAGGAAAAATAAACACTTCTTTAAAATGAGAAAAAGAAGAGAAAAAAAGATTCTTCTTTGTACCCAAATCTTAATTTTCCATCCTGTGATATGATTAGGCACTTATTTATGCGTTGTCAGTCACAAACGTGCAGAAAACGTAGAAGTTATTGAAAAAATTAAAGTCTGCTCAACTGTCTTGCAGGACTGTTGGTTCTCTAAGTGCTTTGAAATTATGATGTATGAGGTAGATGTTGCATATTAAATAAAGATATTTAAATTATAAAGCCCCCGTTAGTGAGAGCTGATGAATGTTAAATGTTATGAGCCACAAGGCTGTGGCATCCATCATATTCACATATTATCACAGTCAGTGATGGAGCAGCCCCAGTGATGACAGATAGACTGCTAGATAGTTATCCCTTATTTCCAGAGTCACCAAGCAAGCCTTTCAACCCCTTTGGCATTATTTTTAGCTTTGCATTACATTAGCAACTTTTCTGTCATGTTCTGGCAGAAAGTATCAATTCTTCTTCACGTGTGGAAGGTAAAAGACTTAGTGAAGCAAGGAGCAAAGGAAAAGGAAGCAGTAGCCCCTACCTGAAAAGGCTGCAAACTTCAAATGACTAGAAACAAATATAAAATTGTGATCTTGTGAAAGAACAGCAATGAAACAGTAAGCACACAATAATGGCTTTTCTCTGCACTTAGATAAAAGCTGAATTTTTGATGTGCACAGTATATTTTCATAAAATTTTATATACTATGTTTTATACACTTATTGGCTATTCCATGATAATGTGTGTGCTAACAGTAAAATTGCTCTTAAATTTATGTGTGTTATTTATATGTTCCCACGTAACAATGCTTTTTGTTGTAAAAAATATTCTGTTTATTAATGTAACTTTACAACCACTGCATCCAAGATCCGTGGTAAATTAATGACATTTTTATTATTTTATAGTGTCATTAAATTTTTACTGATCACTCCATCAAACAGAAGCAATAAAGGCCATAATGCAAACTGGGACACTTAGATCAGGGGAGCAGGAAGGCATTCCATATAGTCTGAAGTAAACGGCTTGCTATAAATGATATTTATACCATCTTTAAGGATGTGAGAATACTTGGACAAGTTTGGCAAAACTGTTTCTGTAGTACCGTGGATTGTGTACTTAAATAACAGTTTACTTGCCAGCAAGACAGTTTTTTTTCAAACCATATGCGAGAAGATGACTGATTGCAT